CACATTAAAATACAGATGTCATTGGTAAAAGTGATAATGCGATTAGAGCAAAGATCATAAATGCATATTTTCTCCTTTATTCTCTTAAATTATTTTAAAAGCTGCTGTATAAAATGACATGTACATAATATTGGTAAGCCTACAACAGAAATATAGTGTACATGCAATGTATTTTCTAGTAACAGTACAAAAGGAGGTAGGCAGTAGCAAAGTTATATTAGATTAAGAAAATTGTTACTCAGTAAATATAATAAAATGCACATTTGAGTTTGTAACATTAATAGATGTGATAAAAACAGTATCACAAAAAAAGTTAAAAAAGAACAGAACTATATAGGAGTAGCATTCAAAATCCCACTGGAACTATGAAAAAAACTATGAACTATGAAAAGTTATTTGAAAAATTAAAATGTTACATTAGGAAATATTCACTTAATGTAAAATATTACACTTCTTGTCAACTTGATATGGGAACTAAAATCAATTAAGGCCCTGTGAACCTCAGGAAGTCTAGAACCATTGTTTAAAGAATGCAGATTATTTTGAGTTGAGAGTAGTGAGAGCCTTGAAGGCTGAGGAGAACTATCTTTGCTTGAGTTCTGAGCTTTTCTCTAATCAAAGAGAAAATCCCCCTGTCCTTTTCCTAACCAGAGAAACAATCACTGCTCCCTCTTTTATAACCTAGAAGAGTGTAATTTGGAGAGATCTCATCCAGGTGTAGATTTGTCCGTGAACATGTATTTTCTGAGAATTTTATCTTTACTCTCAGATTAGATATGAGAATTGATTTCTTGTGTGTCATGTGACGATCTCCCTTCCTTCCATCCCCAATTATCCTTAATACCTTAGGTCACTAAACACAGAATAAGTAGTGTGGTTCATTCCATTATTCACCAGAATTTACAACTATATAAATTCTTCATATACATGTTACTGAATCTTGTTAAGCTTATGACAGATAGAAATATAGTGTACATGCAACGTATTTTCTAGTAACAGCACAAAAGAGGTAAGTAGTAGCAAAGTTGTATTAAATTAAGAAAATGGCTACCTAGTAAATTAATATTTATATAATAAAATGTACCTTTGCATCTGCAACATTAATAGACATGTGTATAAAAATAGTATCACAAAAAAAGTTAAAAAAGAATAGAACTATATAAGAGTAGCATTTCTAAATTCCACTGGAACTAAGATAATAAAAATTTGTAAATTTGTTCTTCAGTTCAATCTCAGAAGAACCCAAGTGGGGTTCTAATTTCCCACTATATCCTGACAACATTTATTCATTTCTTGCTCTGTTCCTCCCTAACCATGTCTCCTTCCTCCCGTCTTCCTTTCAACCTTACTGCCTTTCTTCCTTTCTTTCTCTCTTCTTAATGAATATACCACACTTTCTTCACCAAATATACACCTCAGGCTGTTATTTATTACATAGTATCTTTTTTTTTTATAATTTTTTTTTTATAGAGGCATGTTTATTTATTTATTTATTTATTAATTTTATTTGTTTGTTTGTTTGTTTTGTCTATACATGCACTGGGTACAGTCAGAAGCGCGGGAGGGTGAGAGAATTCACCAGAGCCAGAGCGGGGAGCAGAGCAGGCAGAAGGACCGAAGTACACTGGTGAGGGGAGCAGCGGGCGGCAGGAGAGGTCTGTGCGCCATGTGGGACCCTCCTCCGGTGGCCGGGGAGCAGCCGGGGATCGAACCGGCGCCGCAGAGGACGCGGGCAGCTTCGCAACCCAGCGCTCAACCGCTGCGCCACCGGGGAGGCCCTATTACATAGTATCTTGAAATGGTTTCTGGCAAATCACTCAACTTTCCTAAGACTTAATTTCCTCTAATAAAGTAGGTATGATAAAAAGTACTTTCCCATATGACACAGTGAATGTGCATATCAAATAAAACAATGCAGATGAAAACTTTGTAGCTAGATAGTGATCATATATGTTACATAAGTGGAAATTTCTTTTTTCCTCTTCTTTTTTAAAAATTGAAGGATATTGGTTTATACACTGTATAAGTATTGGAAGCATAACTTTCTTACCTTTTCAAATATATATATCACATCATGCCTACCACCAAAGTTGTAATAACTTTCCATCACCTTCCAGTTGACCCCTTTTTATCTGCCCCCCCACCTCCTCCATCCCCTAAGTAATTGTTCTTCTGTTGTCATAATCCAAGGATTTATTTTTGGTTTGTTTGTTCTTTTACTTTATTTCTTTATCTTTGCATAGGAGTGAAATCACATTGTATTTGTCCTCTTTTTGCACAAAATGGATGCTATTTGAGGGACTTATGTAAATGTCTTTATGCATGTTGATGAGAATCATAGAAACCATCTAAAATGAACTTTAATAGAAAAGAGAGATTGGGCCTCCCCGGTGGCGCAGCGGTTGAGCGCTGGGTTACGAAGCTGCCCTCAGCCTCTGCGGCGCCGGTTCGATCCCCGGCCGCTCCCCGGCCACCGGAGGAGGAGCCCACATGGCGTGCAGACCTCTCCTGCCGCCTGCTGCTCCCCTCAGCAGTGTATTTCGGTCCTTCTGCCTGCTCTGCTCCCTGCTCTGGCTCTGGTGAATTCTCTCACCCTCCCGCGCTTCTGACTGTACCCAGTGCTTGTATAAACAAAAAAAAAAAAAAAAAAAAATAGAAAAGAGAGATTGAAATTATGTACTGATTGACACTTGCTTTTTTCTTCTGAACAGGATATTTTTTCCCCAAGATATTGTAAAGGCTCATTTTCTTACTTCATTTTGGTTTCTGTATATATATCACCTTATCAGATGTCCTCTCTATTCTATTTCTATTGCTTTGCCCTACTTTATATGATAGTACTTTTACCTTTTTAACATATTATATAACCATTATTTATTGCCTTCCTCATCTACTCTGATGTAAACTCCCTAACAACAAATATTTTTACTTTTTTGCTCACTGATGTAGTTGGGCATAGAAGAGTGGTCAACTCATGGACATCCTTCAATAACTACTTATGAAATTAACGTATTAATAATTGGAATTGAAAAGCGCATTACTATCTAATGAATATGTTTCCTTCAATTTCCAAATAACTTATCTATCCTTACCAAGATATGGTTGAAAAAAAAAAGAAGTAACAATCTTTAAGAAAAGGCAATTCCTGGGCCTCCCTGGTGGCGCAGCGGTTGAGCGCTTGGTTACAAAGCTGCCCGCAGCCTCTGGCAGCACCGGTTCGATCCCCGGCCACCAGTCGAGGGCCCCACATGCCAACCGCTGCTCCCCTCAGCAGTGTACTTCAGTCCTTCTGCCTGCTCTGCTCCCCGCTCTGGCTCTGGTGAATTCTCTCACCCTCCCGCGCTTCTGACTGTACCCAGTGCTTGTATAAATAAATTAATTAATTAAAAAAAAATACTGTTAAAAAAAAAGAAAAGGCAATTCCTGAAAAATTGAGTTTCCATATTAAAAAACTTTTAAATAGAAAATTATTTGATCAATTCCCATTTTATATTTTATATATTAATGTACTTTTAGTATTTTTATAGAATCAGTGTTCAAAATATAACAAAATTATTTCATATTCACACCTTTGAAAATAATTTTCCTATTATATAATATATACACATTTAGGGGAAGAGCAGTGCAGTACAGTGAACTGGCACTAATTTTCCCTTCCCCACTTATTGAAGCTGCCTTGAATTACAAGTCTCAGTATGCCATGAACTGGACTTCCTGATGAGGGAGCTATTGGGAACTAGGGATAGAGTTAAACAGTCATATTTGGTATATAACTAAACACCTGTAGACTGGAGAGATCTTCCTCTGGCCTCAACTTCCACTGTGGTACCACTTATAAGAAGGATGGGTAGTATTTGGTCATGTGTTATCAATTAGCTCTCCTGCCTTCTCACTTTTCTCTCCCTTTATCTCAGTTCCATCCTGTCCTCTAGCTCTACCTTTCTAAGTAAACCCTTTCTTTTCCTTTTCATTTATCTCTGTGTGTCTGTTTTTGGGCCTTGTCCTTAATTCTTAAGGACATGGTTGAGACTTACACCCAGGTCAACCCATTTCCCCTGGGTCTACCCTTTAACACAAAAACATACTTTTTGTGTTAAAAAGTCATAGGGAGAAAACCTTTACAGATTTCAGTATTTCATGAATTTTTGCCTTAACCATCTACCTGTCACATATAATATTTACTCTTTTTTAACTGTACCTTTAATTAAAGCTCTCTGGCATTTTTAACCTATCCTTGTCCTAAATACTGTTAAATAGAAGAAAGAGGAAACATCTCAAAATAAGACTTTCATGAGAGAGGTGTTACCAAAATTTAATATTTAATCAAATTGCAGTTAATTCACTCCCAAAGTAGGGTTTTCTTATTTTTTTAAAGATTTATTTATTTACGCATACAAGAACTGGGGCACAGGCCAGAGGTGCGGGGTGTTCACCAGAGACAGAGAAGGGAACAGAACAGGTGGATTGACTGAAGTGTTCCCTGGCCAGGGATGGAACTTGTCCTGCAGTGGCTGTGGATAGCTTCATAGTCTGTGTCATAATCCCTTGAGCCACCAGGGAGGCCCCCAAAACAGGGATTTAAATCAATCAATCTAGATTCCCTAACTATAAAAACCTTTCATTTTGTACAATTCCTTGCAACATCTTTCTATTTGCTATTTATAATGCTGTCCAATTCATGAATTGTTTATAAAGCCAATTAGATGTCTAAATCTAGTTACATGAGTTTTGTTTTTCAATAGTACTTATACTAGCATAATTAAAAATTCATAATAGTTTTTAGAGACACAATAAGTTAAATAAGTGATTATTAAAACAAAAAGTTTGTATATGCCCAAATCATGCCAAGTACCCCTAGAATAACAGGACTTGTGGTAGGATGATGGAGAAAGGTCAAGAGATGCCAGAAGCAGATGAGCATTAGTGGTGAAGTTCTCTGAGACTTGATTTAGTCATATGAGAAATGAAAGGATGAAACAATGATGGTGTCTAAGCTCACATTGCCTTTCTTACAGATTTTCTGTTCATTTCAGTGATGACTGGCTTTAAGGAGACTTCCCAGTAAAGGCTGAAGCTAGTTTCCTGGTACTGTAGCTCATACATGAGTAAGTAAATGACTCCACTGGACCTCCACTGAACTCTTACCTCCTAGACAATGAGAAAATAGGGGCTTTATTATGAATTCCCAACTGGGTCATCTAAGTATTAAGCCTATCTGCACATGTAAAATCACACAAAAATCAAAACAATTTACTGCTATTCTTATATTATCCCTCATTTCTCTGGAAATTTTCTGATACATTTTGGCAGGGTTAGAGTGACCTGGATAACATCTTCCAATTTTCCTTCCATGTAGGAATGATCTTATTTTAGTAAAGTTTTCTCAACTGGAACTCTTCTGAGGCCCACATCCATATCAAATAACTAACAAAGGACATTTTGCATAAATGTAACAAGGACTGCTAAATGTCTCTGGTATAAAAACACCATTTCCAAAATTTATTCTATACTAAGGATGACCTCACCATCATCGCAAAGTTATTCATAGGAAAAAGAATATTTAAACCTTACATTTGTTCACCCCTTTTGTATTTTGTAAAATGTTTTATATAATTTGTAAACTACATAAACTGACATAATGTCATTTGATGTTTATACCTTTCGATTTTTACAAATGCTAATTAATTTTTACAGCAAATATTTTTGGAAGAACAGCCTGAAAGGCACATGATCACTATGGGGATACTTGATTTTCACTATTGTCCTTATGCGCTGTGGGCATAATTACCGCTTAGTTATGGAAAACATAATTACATATTAAATGTAAAATTAAAACCATATTGGTAGAGAGAGCATGAGGAAACATTTGAAAAATCAAAACTGTCCTCAGAATTCTGGTTGCCACATTATGCAGGGGGGATTTGAGATGCACATCATGTTCCTGAGTTTTCTGATCAATTCCTTGAGTCATTTGGTTACAAGTTTCAAAAACCCAATTCAAACTAGGATATGCAAAGCCATCATCATCATCATCATCATCATCATCATCTAATATTGAATCACATAATAGAAGTGCCATGTTCCCAAAGTTGACACCAACAATTAAAAAATATTTCTAAAAACACCATCAGAAAAAGTTTATCTTTTCTCTCAGTAAGTAGATACAATTTAGATAAAGTTTCTGGAATTCCATTGCTTAGATCAACATAGAATCTGTGTGATACAGAAGTAGTATAAGCCCTCAGACAAAGAAATTGTTTTTGCAATCTATCTTTCACCTCAGCTACATGCACTGAAATTATGTGAGAGAAGAATCCTCAAAAGAACAACAGAGTCCCTTTACCAGAAGCATGAGGAGATGTGTGCTGTGAAATAAGACGATGAGATTGAAATGAGATCTAATGTGATGGGATGGCATGTGATGGGATGGGACGGGACGGGATGGGATGAGATGGAATGGGGTGAGGTAAGGTGAGATGAGTTAAGTTGCGACAGTAAAGTTTCCACTAGGCTTGCATCCCTTCAGTCATTATTGTTTAGTATGATGTCCTCAAGCAATTATAACTTGAAATGTACATACAAATCTTAGGAAACAAAAGGTAGAAGATAAAAATTATTATTAATATATCACTATGTTTCGTAACTTAGGGTTTTTACCTTCATATCTTTGAGTCATTTCTTTAAATAAACAATTTAATTTTGTAATTAAACAAAGGACTCTATGTGAATCCCACTGAAAGATGCATGTAGGAAAAGGAAAGAATCACAGGAAGAACAAAGGTGGCAAGAACCCTTCAAGAAAGGATAAGCTGCTGTTGTCCTTGAGTCTCGATGATGGAACTCATTGCTTGCAGATGGGAGCAGCTGTTGTTGGTAGCATCTGCCAGAAGCTGTTGAGAGTCTGTGCCAGGAGCCACTGCCAAGAGCAATTGCCAAAAGGAGCAGCTGGGAATCCAATTTGGGAATAGAAAGAATTGCAATGGTCTCAGCCCTCTTCATCGCACCATTATAAGTAACTGCAGAGGTCTGAGGATGAGAGTGTTCTTCATGTATTTCTGCCATATCAATTTTTTAAATCTAGATTTAGATCACAGTATAGTATATGTTTCTATCTATTCCATTCTAAAGGAATTAAATGTGTTCATTTCATCATTCATTTAGTTCATATTTATGTATGCCCTCTGCCTACAAAAAAAGTTGTACTTCTGATGTGATTGCCACCTAGTGGTGAAAAGATGTAATAAATAAATTTTCAGAGCACAGTGTAACAGGAATAGTTACAAAATGTAATCTGGGGAAGCCCAGGACAAAAAACTGCCTTTCCATGAAGGACTCTAATAAAGCTTTAAGGAAGATGACACATTCCATCTGGATCTTAATGAATACAAGGTCCACAATTTCTAACAGAAGAACAAATCTTCTACACATCTGAAAATCAGCCTTTATATTTCAGAGTTTGAAATAAAGAAATAAGATAATTCTCAAAGTGAATAACTTAAATGCCAGGTAAATATTTTGGAAAATGAATCTAGTAGACTAATATTTCCAATTCTTGATAGGTATTTTATAACACATAGTTTCCTTCTGAAGTTTGATATTATCTCTTTCTACATAATGTTAGTTTATCTTTTACTTTTCAGATCCCTACTCCTTTTCACTTACTATTATTCTCCTAGATTTCTTCTCCAGAAGCTGTTCCCATTAGGTTTCAATGGGTAGTACATGGTCCCATTGTCTGGTTGTTGTCATTTAAGAAACAATTATTATGCAATAATAGATTTTCAGCATTTGCTTATATTATAGGTATTATACTATGTAATCTGCAGGTATTAAGGTATTTAATTATCTTTAAAATACTATAAGGAATGTAACATTAATAAACTCATTGTACAATAAATAGTTTGAGGGTTAAAGCCTTTAACCTTTAAGTATCACTTTAAGTATCACAAAGCCAGTTTGTTGAGGTCTTCTTTTTATTTTTAAGTTCCATTTCTTTTCTCTTATTTGTTAATTCTCTTGTTTTTTGTTGGAAATTTCTGCTGAGGTTAGCAAATTATAGACTATTTGTATGACCCGTTGGATGATCTGGCTTCCAACTCATTCTCATGGGGCACATGTTATTCTCTTCCCACTACATTTTAAATGATTTAGATGTCGGTAATTTTAAATATTTTAAATATTTCAACATTTTAAATATTAATTGTTTTGTTGCTTTATAATAACTGCCCTAAGATTTCGTTCATGTGTGGTTTGGTGTTGATAAGTTCTTCCTGCTTTGTTTTTCAGTGAAGATCAGTGAAGTCAGTAGGGCAATGAAAGAGTACGGCCAATGAGGGTCAGTGACTCAATTCTCCTACTGTCTGTCGGTACCAGAGATATTGGTTGGAATTCACAGTGATCTCCTCCTCCAAACCAGATCTTTGGTCTGAGTCTTGTAGGGTTTCATGTCTGCTTCCACCTCTATAATATTTTTGAGCAATAGATATATCATTGGGGCATGGATTGTAGTTGATCACAGGCCAAGAGTTTCACTTTTTTATTTTCCAGCACAGACATTCATCCTGGGGTATTTACATCTGTTATTAACAGTTGCTTAACGCTGATTAGTGCAAGTATTCATTTGTTGTCTTGGGTTTGGTTCTGGGTGGAGGAGTACAGGTGTTTTGAATATCTCAGTCCTGGCTTTCAGTGATAATCTCTTCCATGAGGAGACAGAGATGCTCCAATCGATTACTCACTGCCAGTTTAAGCTCTAGCTGTTCTGTGCCGAGAGCCTCAGGCCCAAGCCAATGATCCATGCTCTTTTCTTCTGCTTCTACTGTCTCCAACAGTGTACCCTCTGTCCTGGATGCCAGCCCCCTTTATCTAGTGCAGTGCCAGGTCTCAGGAGTCTCCAGTGTTGGCATATTCCCCTGGGTCAATAACTGTAGAAGACTGCCCCCAACTCTTATAAGTTATATTTCTCCAGTATCACTGTATTTCTCACAGTTCACTTAAAATTTTCCTACCTATATCCATCCTATCATTGATCCTAGTGTGTACTGTTATCATCTTTAGGAATTTATGTCTTTGTTCTGTTGAAATCTAGTTCAAGAACATGGCAGAGGCAAGCCTGGCATCTTCACTCTGCCAACATCTTGCTGAACTCTTTTGTTGTTTTAATGGTAAATAAAAGATGGCCTCTTTTTGTTGTTTTATATTTCAGAATATTTACTTGTTACCAGTTCTGCTGCTTCAGAAATTCAAGAATACTTCAAATCAAAGTCATGTTACACAGCTTATTATTCTGGTTTATGAGAAATAGCAAAACAGGTGGATTATAAAGTCTAGATGTCAAATCAAGGTGAAAGAATAAATGACAGGTGTAAGAATAATCTGGACCTGGGAGATAATACAAAATCTTCAGTTTAAGGAAGATGGTCAAGATACAAGTGAAGCTATGAACACATGTGGCTGATCACAGAAAGGCATCAAATGAATCTAACCAGTACAGCAGAAACCAGGAAGATACTCCTAGGTAAGAATGACATGGGCTCAAATGTGTGATGGTTAAACTATTCTGAGCCATCAAATATAGAGGGGATGGAACAATAAGCCAATCAAAACTCAGAGAAATAATCAGTCCAAAAATAGATCTAGAAATCACCTCTAGCAATGGTTCAGGTGCAAGCTACATGGGGAACTTGAATCCGCTTCATAAAGTCTCTTGTGAGTACTATGATGGGGGAGGAGTTGTAACTATAATAAAAGAACTACCTGTTTGGCATGCAGTGTTAAAGTTGGCAAGTAAATACATTTGCATGCACAAGGAAAGAAAAGACTAGACTTCAAGTTCTCCTTTCAATTAGTTTCCAGTTCAAAATATGTTGCCTGGAGATCACATTTTCCCAGAGAAATTGTATTTTTGTACTTTTTTTCCTACTTTCTGCAAAAGATTATAGCCATACTTTGTGTCTCCTTGTCAATTTTAGAAACCTCCACAATTTTCTGATTTTATATGCTGATTTATAAGTAGATTTTTGACCTTTTAAGTTATTTCTACAATTACATCATTGCTGCTATCTTTAGGTGTTATTATCCAAACAAGTCACACAAAAGTTATAATTAAGCCAAGTCAAAGTTATCACAAGAGACTAAGTTAGTCATTACAAATCACAAAAGCCCAAATCAGATGCATGCCCATCTATGATAATCGCCAATAAAATAGCAATGCAGTTGGTACACTCCTTTGCCTTTAGTCAGGTGTAGCATAAATGCTGGAGCTCATTGGCACCACTGCCAACCTTTTGCACTTATACTAAGTGGCTAAGGACTTTTGATATGGTAGGGTGTGGGTGGGGAAAACAACAACAACAACAACAACAACAACAACAAAACGCAACACCTGTAAAACAAATAAATCCACATCTACCTGAAGACTAACAAAAATGGCTTGTTCTTAAGTAAGTTATCTTCCCAAACTGTAGTTTATCAGACCAAATCTCAAATTATTGCAGAACAGGGTGAGGGGTACCCCCAAACCCAAAACCTGACCATTCTAAATAGATTCTGTCATCCGCTAAATCAAGACAAAACATTCTCTAGTGCGTAAAACCTTCAACGGAAAAGAACTTTAATACAATCACTGTGAAGGGCCTCCCCGGTGGCCTAGGGGTTAAGTATCAGCATTACCACCACGACAACCTACCACAACAGCCTGACAGTCTGAATTCAATCCCCAACCAGGGAACTAACCCACATGGCACAGCGGACCTCTCCTGTCTCGCCTGCTGCTCCCCTCAGCAGTGTATTTCAGTAGATCTGTCTTTTCTGCTCCCCACTCTATCTCTGGTGAATTCTCTTAACCCCCACACCTCTGGCTTATACCTTAGTTCTTCTATGAAAAAATAAATATATACAATCTTTTTTTTTAAAGAAAGTTTAAAAAATACGATTAGTTTGTAATACAGAAAAGGGAAAGAATAAAGTTTCCAAATTAAACACCAGACTTTGCCCATACCCTTGTGGGTAAATGCCCAGACAAACAGGGTTGACGAAAAGCAAGGCCCGAAAGCCTGTCACAAGTCTAAAACACCTCTGGTGGGGACCCAGAGGAAAGGGGCAAAAGGGGCCCACACGTCTGGAAGGAAGAAAACAAAATCAAAATCAGAATCAAAGCTGTCATTGTTTTTTGTGTTTTTTTTTTAATTTAAATTTTATTTTTATTCGGTTTTGGTATTAGTGTAATGTTGGCTTCATAGAACGTGTTTGGTATTGTCTCTTCCTTCTCAATTTTTTGGAAGAGTTTGTGAAGGATAGGCACTAATTCATCTCTGAATGTTTGGTAGAATTCATTTGTAAATCCATCAGGTCCTGGGCTTTTGTTTTTGGGGAGGTTTTTGATTACCATTTCAATTTCGCTGCTTGTAATTGGTCTGTTTAGGTGTTCTATTTCTTCTTTATCTAGCTTTGGGTGATTGTAGAGTTCTGGAATTTGCCCATCTCCTCTAGATTGTTGAACTTGTTTCCATATAACTGTTCATAGTAGTTACTGATTATTCTTTTGATTTCTGCTGTGTCCATTGTGATTTCTCCTCTTTCATTGATGATCCTGTTCATTTGTGCTTTCTCCCTTTTTTCCTTTGTGAGCCTGGCTAGGGGTTTGTCTATTTTATTGATTTTTTCGAAGAACCAGCTCTTGGTTTCATTAATCTTTTGGATTGTTTTTTTTAGTTTCAATTTCATTTATTTCTGCTTTGGTTTTTATTATTTCTTTTCTTCTACTGGTTTTGGGGTTTTTTTGTTGTTCTTTTTCTAGATCTTTGAGCTTCGAGATTAGGTTGTTTCTTTGAGTTCTTTCTTGTTTCTTGATGTGAGCTTCTATTGCTATATATTTTCCTCTTATTACTGCTTTTGCTGCGTCCCATACATTTAGGATATTGGTGTCCTCCTTGTCATTCAATTCAAAGAATTTTTTAATTTCCTCTTTGATCTCCTCATTAGTCCAGTGGTCTTCCAGTAGTGTGGTTTTTAGTCTCCATGAGGTAGGAAAGTTCCTTGCCTTCTTTTTATGGTTTATTTCTAGCTTGATGCCTTCATGGTCAGAAAAGATGGTTGGTATGATTTCAACCTTGCAGTATCTGTTGATGTTTGTCTTGTGCCCCAGTATGTGATCGATCCTGGAGAATGATCCGTGTGCGCTTGAGAAAAATGTGTACTCCGTTTTTGGGGGGTTTAGTGTTCTATAGATGTCTGTTAAGCCCAAATGCTCTAGGTCCTTATTTAGTTTCTTTACTTATTTTTTGTCTTGTTGATCTAACCATTGTTGATAGTGGTGTGTTGAAGTCTGCCACTACGTATGTGTTTTCTCTGATGTCTGTTTTCAGAGATGACAACAGTTGTCTGATATATTTTGGTGTTCCTTCGTTTGGTGAGTATATGTTAATGAGTACTGTTTACAATAGCTAAGCTTTGGAAACAACCCAAATGCCCAAAAATAGATGACTGGATCAAGAAGATGTGGTACATATATACCATGGAATATTACTCAGCATTTAAAAAAGATAAACACATGGGGCCTCCCGGGTGGCACAGCGGTTGAGCGCTGGGTTGCGAAGCTGCCCGCAGCCTCTGCAGCGCCGGTTCGATCCCCGGCTGCTCCCCGACCACTGGAGGAGGGTCCCACATGGCGCGCAGACCTCTCCTGCCGCCCGCTGCTCCCCTCAGCAGTGTACTTCGGTCCTTCTGCCTGCTCTGCTCCCCGCTCTGGTGAATTCTCTCACCCTCCCGCGCTTCTGACTGTACCCAGTGCATGTATAAACAAAAACAAACAAACAAACAAACAAATAAATAAATAAATAAATAACATGCCTCTATAAAAAAAAAAAATAAAAATAAAAAAGATAAACACATGCAATTTGCAGCAACATGGATGGCGCTGGAAGGGATCATGCTCAGCGAAATAAGCCAAAAAGAAAAAGAAAAATACCGGATGGTCTCACTCATAGCAGGGATCTAGAAAACTTAAATAAGGGACCAGGAAAATGAATAACTGTAAGAAAGTGAAAATCAAAATCAACAAAAAACTATGAACCAGAGACACTTTTTGGGGGGTGGGGGGCAGGAGGGGAGGGACTGGGGTCAGAATGGGGGGGTTGAAATTTTATGGGGAATATAAAAATAAAATTTATTATTAATTAAAAAAAAAGAAAACCAATTGAAAAAAAATTTATTTTTATATTCCCCATACAATTACAACCCCCTTATTTTGACTCCAATCCCTCATTTCCCTGCCCTTCACCCCACATAGAGTGTCTCTGGTTCATAGTTGTTTGTTGATTTTGATTTTTACTTTCTTATAGTTATTCTTTTTCCTGGTCTCTTATTTAAGTTTTCTAGATTCCTGCTTGAGTGAGACCATCCGGTATTTTTCTTTTTCTTTCTGGCTTATTTCGCTGAGCATGATCCCTTCCAGCTCCATCCACGTTGCTGCAAATTGCATGTGTTTATCTTTTTTGAATGCTGAGTAATATTCCTTGGTATATATGTACCACATATTCTTGATCCAGTCATCTTTTTTGGGCATTTGGGTTGTTTCCAAAGCTTAGCTATTGTAAACAGTGCTGCTATAAACATAGGTGTGCAGGTGTTCTTTGGAATTGATGTTTCTGTGTCCTTTGGGTAAATACCTAGGAGTGCAATTGCTGGATCATATGGAAGCTCTACGTTTAGTAGGTCCAGAAATCTCCACACAGCTCTCCATAGTGGTTGGACCAGTTTGTAGTCCCACCAACAGTGCAGGAGAGTTCCTTTTTCTCCACACCCTCACCAACATTTGTTGTTGCTAGTTTTTTCAATATGTGCCATTCTCACTGGTGTAAGATGGTATCTCATGGTAGTTTTGATTTGCATTTCCCTGATTACAAGTGATGTTGAACATTTTTTCATATGCCTGTTGGCCATTTGCATTTCCTCTTCAGAGAAGTTTCTTTTTAGCTCTTCTGCCCGTTTTTTGACTGGATTATTTTCTTTTTTTTTTTTTTTTTTTTTTTTTTTTTATAGAGGCATGCTTTATTTATTTGTTTGCTGGTTTGTTTGTTTGTTTTGTTTATACATGCACTGGGTACAGTCAGAAGTGTGGGAGGGTGAGAGAATTCACCAGAGCCAGAGTGGGGAGCAGAGCAGGCAGAAGGACCGAAGTACACTGCTGAGGGGAGCAGCGGGCTGCAGGAGAGGTCTGCGCGCCATGTGGGACCCTCCTCTGGTGGCCGGGGAGCAGCCGGGGATCGAACCGGCGCCGCAGAGGCCGCGCGCAGCTTCGCAACCCAGCGCTCAACCGCTGCGCCACCGGGGAGGCCCCTATTTTCTTTGTTTTTCTTGAGTCTCATCAGCTCTTTGTAGATTTTTGTGATCGGTCCTTTATCATTAGTGTTGTGTGCAAAGATGTTCTCCCAGTCGGTGGGGTTTCTCTTTGTTTTTGTTATTGTCTCTTTTGCTGTGCAGAAGCTCTTTAATTTCATGTAGTCCCAGCTGTTTATCTTTGCCTTCACTATCACTGCTTTGGGTGATGTGTCTGTAAAGATGTCTTTGAGGTGCATATCATGTAGTGTTTCACCTATATTTCCTTCTATGTATTTTATGGTTTCAGGTCTTATGTCTAGTTCTTTAATCCATTTTGAGTTGGTTTTTGTGTATGGTGTGAGGAGTGGTCAAGCTTCATTCTTTTGCATGTAGCGACCCAGTTGGCAGGATACAAAATCAACACACAAAAATCAGTAGCTTTCCTATACACAAACAATAAATCTGAAGAAGAAGAAATAAAAAAAAAACATTCCTTTTATTATCAAAACAAAAAAAAATCAAATACTTGGGAATAAATCTAACAAAAGAGGTAAAGGACCTATACAAAGAAAACTATAAAATACTGTTAAAAGAAATAAAAGAAGACACAAAGAAATGGAAAGACATCCACTGCTCATAGATTGGAAGAATAAACATTATTAAAATGGCCATCCTACCAAAAGAAATATACAGATTCAATGCTATTCCAATCAAAATTTCAATGTCATTCTTCAAAGATATAGAACAATTATTGACGAAATTCATATGGAATCACCAAAACCCCCGAATAGCCAAAGCTCTCCTGAAAAAAAAAGAAGAGAATGGAGGCATCACACTCCCAGACTTCAAACTGTACTACAAAGCCATAATCATCAAAACTGCATGGTATTGGAACAAGAACAGACACACAGACCAATGGAATCGAATAGAAAATCCAGAAATATACCCACAGATTTATGGTCAACTAATCTTTGACAAAGGAGCAAAGAATATGCATTGGAGCAAAGAAAGTTTGTTCAATAAAAGCTGTCATTGTTAACCTCCCCACAGGTCTCACCCACATCCATTTCAACCAGTCCATTACCACAAAGCAAGTGCAGTTTCTTCACATGTCTCTCTGCTCCCTGTGCCTCCTCCAGGTCTCTTTTGGGATCTCCATCCTGCTTCCTTTCTTCTCAGTCCCTTCCCTAGTTTCCTCTCTTCCCTACTCAGTTCCACCCTTCCTTGGGTGGCCAGGGAACCTGGCACCTCCCCTTTCCCTGGGGACTACCCTGTTACAAAAATAGGGCTGTAATAGCCTCATCCCTTCTGATGCTACTAGGTTTGGGTTTCAGAGAAACCAGTTGCTGAAGTTTGGGCTTCTGAAGCTACATTGAGACATTCCTTGTATCTAAAACCCCAATAGATTAATCTATTCAGTCCTATGAAAATATATGTAGGAATCTTTCCTGGAAAGTCAAAATATTTGTTAGTATGGAAATTCTGTCATCAGATGATTAAGTTTTCTTTCTTAATGAATTACAAAAAGAGGATTGAACAGATAGGATGTGATAAAAAGATAGATGATTTCCCTACCTACATATGGACATTTGGAATTAGTTTAATTCCCTGTGGGTCACTATTTTATAGCAAAGATGAGTGAAGTTAAGTTTCACAACATTTATTAAGTGTAAAATCCTCCAAGATTCTGGCAATGGGTTGACTGACAGTGCTTTACCCAAAGGACACAGAAACATCAATTCCAAAGAACACCTGCACCCCTATGTTTATAGCAGCACTATTTACAATAGCTAAGCTTTGGAAACAGCCCAAATGCCCAAAAATAGATGACTGGATCAAGAAGATGTGGTACATATATACCATGGAATATTACTCAGCATTCAAAAAAGATAAACACATGCAATTTGCAGCAACATGGATGGCGCTGGAAGGGATCATGCTCAGCAAAATAAGCCAAAAAGAAAAAGAAAAATACCGGATGGTCTCACTCATAGCAGGAATCTAGAAAACTTAAATAAGGGATCAGGAAAATGAATAACTATAAGAAAGTGAAAATCAAAATCAACAAAAAACTATGAACCAGAGACACTTTTTGGGGGGTGGGGGCCGGGAGGGGAGGGATTGGGGTCAGAATGGGGCATGTGCAGTTGTATGGGGGAATATAAAAATAAAATTTATTATTTAAAAAAAAAAGTTTTGACTTTTTGTCTTACTTTCTAGGAAGTATTTCAGTAACAAATTGGGAGGGACTGCATTATAGATGTCTTCTTCAACCATCAAAACAAATTTATAATAGGTACTGTCCTTGACTGTCCTTTCTCAAACAAAAAGAATAAAAAAGAAATCCTCCTGCTTGAGGACAAAACCAAAGAAACAAAACCAAACAGTCATTTGGAGATACTAGAAGACATAAAATAACTGCATGATTTTTCATCTAGGACAAGTGCTGTCTCTCTCTCTCTCTTGCTTGGTATTATTATTTCCATTTATCAAGAAGGAAACAATCTCAAAGTATTGGAATAACTTTTTCAAGAATACAATATAAAGGATATATATTGAATTAAAAAATTTATTTGCTTAAATTTTCTTTCATTTTTCTTTCCAGTAAACCTTGCAAATTTCTTAAAGTAGAGAATAAGGTAAGTTTACAAATAATAAATACAAATAATTAAAAGACTGATCATAGGTATAGCTGTAAAGGAATTAAGGAAGGAAAACTGACATGGACAGAATATTGAGTGGAAACATTGATATTAGTACATATGACATTTCAAAACTATCCTCATATTACTGAGGCCTTGTGATGTAGTATATGCCCTGCAGATGGATTTTCTCTTTTGGTAATGCAAGTGCTGAGTTAACTTTTGATTGCTGAGGCATCCACTTCAAAGGTGGCATTTACTTCAAAGAGAACTATCTTGAATAAACATATTGCCAGAAACACAACTATTTAAAGAACCAGGCTGCTTCCACATTCCCTCTTTTGTTTTAGAGATCTTGGTTGATTTTGAAAACTGGCAATTTTTGCCACCTGTTTTTTTCTTTTTTGGGGGCTTTAAATTTCTGCTCTTGCATTTTAAATCTGCCAACAAAGAACAAGACTGCAAGACACTAGGCTCCCAGCCTGGACCCTAATACATGTAGAATCCCAGCCACCACTTCCTCTCACCCTTCCCCACCCATGTTCTGGGTGGCCCCAGGTGTGCTAGGTAACTTCCAGGTATTATAAGTAATAGACATTGTTATTTCAAAGTGTCCTGTTAACTACTGATGAAGTGTCCTGGTAACTACTGATGAAGGAATCATGCAGTCATCATAAAATCTACCAGGGCCAGTCCAGCCATAATACTGATTATCAGTAGGCTGAGACTGACACAAAACAAGTCACAATTGATCTTTATAACGATAATCCCAAATCATTATAAAAAGTCAATTGTGTTTTTTATCCTCTAATTCTTAAGGAATAAATTATAAGATATATACACATATATATTTAAAGATTATTTATACAGGCACTGGGTACAGTCAGAAGCATGGGAGAGTGAGAAAATTCACCAGAGACAGAGCGGGGAACAGAACAGGCAGACTGATGAAGTACATTGCTGAGGGGAGCAGCGGGGGCAGCAGGAGAGGTCTGCGCACCATGTGGGACCCTCGCCGGTGGCAGGGATCAAACTGGCGGCCATAGAGGCTGCGGGCAGCTTCGCAGCCCAGCGCTCAACTGCTGCGTCACCAGAGGAGGCCCTATAAGATATATTTTTAAACTTCTGTAGAATATTTTCAGCTTCTCACCATCCCACCTACAAACATTATCTAAGGTTGTACCTTTTCTTATTCCTTTTTATTCATAAAAAAGAATCATTTCCTTCCTTATTACCTCACTGAGCCTATATCTATGGAATCCATGTCAGGGTCTTTGCTGGATTCTAGGGAGAAAATGAATGAGAGAAAATATTTTGTTCATATGTCTCACATTCTCAGAAGGAAGACAGTTAACAGATAGGATATGGTAAGTTATAGTTATTATATATATCATATAAATGATGTCATATATGAAATACATCATATATGTAAATATATATGAAATTTACTTATGTGATATGTCACATCATGATTTAGCTATATATATATTATATATATATATATATATATATATAGTACTTAAATACCTAAACTTCAGCTTGTTTAAGTATAATAATAAGTCTTAAATTAAGTATTTTGCACTTATCTAAGTGAGTCACGGAGCAAGGATTTGAATTCACGTTGCAAGAAGTAACACACAAGTCATACCAGCCAAAGATCCCAGTGTGCTATCACTGGCAATTGAGACCACAGTTTACGTCAGTGATATTGCTCCATCATTGCTGTTTCTGGAAAGCAAAATTGGGTTAGAGCTCACCAAGAGATGTATTTTTATGATATTCTTTTGTTTTCTGATCTGAAGTCTAAGAAAGGCACATCAAGTGTAAACTCTACATCACACCTCTCTGATGCAATAGAGCCTAGAGCAATGAATTGTGGCCCCTACATTGGAGATAAAATGTGGGACATTTCACAAATACGGAATACTACTCAAAAGATGATGTGAAAAATACCCACCATTGTAGCAGGTTTTAAAACTTACCTTCCCAATTTCCAGTGTCCCCATTTCCTTAGTCACAAAACCTTTACTTACCAGACCCTGTGTGTCATTGCACCCACTAAAAACACTACCTCGCTTTCCCCAGATTCCTTGCAGTAAGAGTCACCACTTGACACAATTGGAACCAATGAATAATAGGGAAGGTCTGCTGGGGATTTTAGAAAAAAGCTTTCCCTTTTTTGCATGCAAGTGATGCTCCTGTTCATCTTTTCACTCTCCTTTTGGCAGTCACCTTGCAACCATGACCTGGCTCGCCTGAGGGTAAATGCCCACTTGACAAAATGGCATATGAGTAAGGTTGAAGAATAGCTACACTGACCCTACTTCTACAGAAATCCTGTTATTACACAGAAAATCAGTCATTATTATTTAATACAGGCTTTGCTAACTCAATCTGTTTATTAGAGTAAAATGTTTTCACAATTGATATAACCAAAAAGCACATAAAAATGATTTTCATTTTGGGCCTCCCCTGATGGCGCAAGTGGTTGAGTGCCACGCTGTGAAGCTGTCCGCAGCCTCTGCAGTGCCAGTTCTATCCCAGCTGGCCAGCGTGGGTCCCACATGGTGTGGCAGACCTCTCCTGTCGCGCCCGCTGCTCCCCTCAGCAGTGTCTGCCTGTTCTGTTCCCTGCTCCGTCTCTGGTGAATCCTCTCACCCTCCCACAAATCTGGCCTGTACCCCGGTTCTTGTATAACTAAATAAATAAATCTTTTTGAAAAAATGATTTTCATTTTTAGGACCACCCAGAACTTATTTATAACCATATGTGACTGATTTGGATAATATTAAATATAAAAAATAATGAGCTATAAATAAGGTAGTATCTCCATGGATTATACATGGGAAGATAGATTTTTAAAACATACTGAAAAAACTGTACATAATCATGTTAGTAACTCCTTAAGTGGAACGCATGATCACTCATAGCCTACCTTGTATTGTTTAATGGACTAAATTGTGTTCTTTCAAAATTCATATGTTGAAGCTTTAGCCCCAGAGTCTTAGAATGTGACTGTATTTGGAGAGAGGGTCCTTAAAGAAGTCCTTATATTAAAATGAGACCCTAAAGCAATCTGGCTGGTATCCTTCTAAGAAGAGGAAGAAGAGAAGGCCATGTGAGCAGCCAGCAAGAAAGCAGGAACCTTCAGATTTCTTGTGGCTAGCAAAATCAGGTATTAATGTTGGTCTTTTGTAAATGCAAAGTGGTGTCCTGTGAACTTTTAAAAAGCATGGGAAGTCTATATAGGTGATTGGCAGAGAACTGATGCTCAGTAAATACTTTTTTGTTGAATTAATTAATGATTCTTTATGGGACTTATTTATATAACACTTTATAGATTTTTCTGAAGACATTATCTGCAGAGGTACCTAGAATGATTCTATTAACTCTGGAGAGATGGAATGAGCCTGTACTGAGCTCTTCTATGTAACGTAGATTAGTCTCAAATCATTTTGAAGGCAAACAGTTTCTTTTTTTCTGAATATTTCCACATGTCTGTCTCTTTCTCTTTATAGCTGAGATTTTGGTATTTAACAATATATCTAGAAATCATATCACACAGAGAAGTTTTTCATTCTTTCATGAATATACTTTAATTCAGTCAATGCCTTTCTTTTGTAGAAGCATTAGATGGTTTTTATTTTTAACATTTTGTAATAAAAAAAAAACTGAAATAAGTAACCCTAACAATATACATTTCATTTTGTTGGAGGTGTATTTTTTTTTTCCTAGAAGAACAAAGGTACAGGCCAGAGGTGCAGGGTAAGGGGGGGGGGTGGTGAGAGAATTCACCAGAGATAGAGTGGGGAGCAGAATAGGCAGATTTACTAAAATACACTGCTGAGAGGTGCAACACGTGAGACAGGAGAGGTCTGCTGTGCCATATGTGGGTTAGTTCCCTTGCCAGGGATTGAACTCATGCTGCAGTGGCTGGTGATAGCTTGATAGTGCTGAGACTTAACATCTAGGCCACCAGGACCAGGGAGTCCTTGGAGGTGTATTTTTATAGTAAGTTAAGATTTAGGATTACTGGACCAAATAGTAAATGTATATCTAATTTTTGCTAAACATTGCCAAATTCTCCTCCAAAGAGGTATATAGTAGTATTTCCACCAAAACAGTGTGGGAGTATCTATTTCAAAGGATGTTGTCATATATTTTAATTTCCCTTAATCTCATGTATGAGAAATTACATATCAGTGCAGTTTTAATTTGCAAAACTGTAAATTTGAACAAGGTTAAAAATTTTAATCCCATACCTATGGTTTATTTATATACTTTTTAAATTAAAATTTGCTTCATCTCCACCGCTCATTTTTCAGTTTTTTACTTAATTCCATCCATTTTTAAGAATTTTTAATGCATTAGGCCTACCTGATGGCAGAGGGGTTAAGTCTCAGGCTACCACCATGGTGGCTCACTACAAAGGCCTGAGTTTGATCCCAGCCAGGGAGCTACCCACATGAGACAGCAGACTTCTCCTGTCTCTCCCACTGCTCCCCTCAGTAGCATTTTGGTTAGTCCGCCTATTCTGCTCCCACTCTGTCTCTGGTGAATCCTCTCATCCACCCGCACCTCTGGCCTACATCCCAGTTCTTCTATGCAAAAATAAACATATAAAATCTTGAATTAAAAGAAAAGATTATTTAAAAAAAGAAATTTTCATGTATTTACTATATTGTAAATATTTTCTTCTAATGGTAGTCATCTTCCAAAAGGGTTAATACATTTTCTTTTGGATTTTTGTCTAACTTTGTTATCTAAGTTTTCACTTCATGTGATATTAGTCAAAATGCAGAAGTGATGCTATGTGTTTTCAAATTTTTATTTGGTAAAATTTATTAACCTTATGTTTTATGGTGTTTTGATTTTCTTGTTTTAAAAAAGATTTATTTTTATTTATGCATACAAGAACTGGGGTACAGGCCAGAGGTTTGGGAGGTTGTGAGGATTCGCCAGAGACAGATTGGGGAACAGAACAGGTGGATCAACTGAAATACACTGCTGAGGGGAGAGCAGCAGGCAAGTCAGGAGAGGTCTGCTGAGCCATGTGGGTTGCTCACTGGTCAGGAATCGAACTCATGCTGCAGTGGCAGGTGATAGCTTGATAGTACTGTCTTTAACCCCTGAACCACCAAGGAGGCCCTGGTAGTTGAATTTTCAATCATAGTTAGAGATCTTTCCTACACTCTAGTTATAGAGCAATTCAAGCATGTTCTCTCTTAGCACTTACACCTTTTTTTTTTTCATTTTTATATTTAGGTGTTTTATTCATTCAGAGTTCATTCTTGAGTTTGATCTGAGATACATATTTAGTCTTTTTCCAAGCAGCAAACTTGTTGCCCAGCATATTTTATTTAAAGATTATGTCTTCCCCAATGATTTTATATACTACTTTCATCATATACTAAATGTTTGCATGCACTTGGGTTAATTTCTGGACTTTATTTTCTGCTCTGTCTGCCAATTCATGTTCTCATCCTACCTTGTTTTAATTACAGAGACTTTATAATTTACATTAATGTAATATAATGTAAGTATAATGTAAGCCTAAGTGTCCTTCATAGTTTTTCTGTTACAATTTTGTAAAGGTACAATTTCTGTTACGTGTTTGCATTTTCATGTGAACTTTAGTATTAACTTATCAAGTTCAATAAGAATTGCTTAATTTTTTTAATTGAGATTGCATCAATTCTAGAAATCACTTAAAAGCTGTTGTTTTTATGGTGTTGAGTCATCATATTAAAGAATAGGAGATGTCTTTATATTTCTTCAAATATTTTGTATGTTTTGAGAGTGGTTTAAAATTTTTCTTTAAACTTATGTGGGTTTTGCATATTTTTGTTAATTTTGTTCCTAAGAATTTTTTTTCCCGTTGCTGTCAGAATTTTTCTACCATTATGTTCTGTATCTGGCTGTTTGAAAATAAAAGATTTTAATTTCTGTATTTTTTTTTAAAGATTCATTTATTTATACAAGCACTGGGTACAGTCGGAAGTGCGGGAGGGTGAGAGAATTCACCAGAGATAGAGTGGGAAACAGAACAGGCAGACTGACAAAGTACACTGCTAAGGGGAGCAGTGGTCGAGGCAGGAGAGATTTGCGCGCCATGTGGGACCCTCACCAGCGGCCGGGGATCAAAGCGGCGTTGCAGAGGCTGTGGGCCACTGCGCAGCCCAGCGCTCAATGGCTGTGCCACCAGGGAGGCCCTGTATTATTTTTTCCCTAACTTAAACCTTACTGAATTCCTTGAGTATGTTTTATTATTGTTACACTAGTTTTTCTAGGTATACAAAATTATCATCTACAATCAGAGGTATTTTCAGATTTTTTAAACCAATTTTTATGTCTCTGATTTCTCTTGTTTAATTGTCATAGCTAACACCACCTATACAAAGTAGAACATTTTTGTTTTGTTCTTAATCTTAGTGGAAATGTCTTTAGGGTTTATTCTTTAAGTAAGTTTAAGAAAAGTTTGCATGTCTTACCATGTTAAGAGAATGTGTTTTTAATTTTTTTTCTTTTTTATTTTTGGTCAGAAAGACCAAAATTTTTGTCAAAAGATTTTCAGTGTCTCTGGAGATAGTCAAATGTTTATTTTCTTAGACCTATTAATATGATTTATTATATTAATGGACTTCCTAAAACTGAACCAAGCTTACTTTTATGTAATAAATACCACTTGGTCATAGTGTATTAATACTTTAATAGTCTATTAATTCTTTAATAGACTGTGGTGTTGAATGCACTCGCTAATATTTTGTTTAGTATTTTGCATAAATATTCATAAAAATATGGTTAATAGTTCTTTCTACCATCAGTCAGGGTCAGTTATATATGCTATACAAAAATAGTTTTCTTTCCTTTTTAGTACTCTGGGACAATTCATGGAACATTCGGACTATGTATAGACTTTGAACATTTATTAGAATTTATTAGAATTTTCCTGTGAAACCATCTGGCCTGTGTTTTTGTGAGACTGACAACATTCTCACTTTCTTTTACTAACATTGGTCTTTTAAATATTTATTTAAACAGGATTGCTTTTATTAATTTGTACTTTTCTAATAAACTACTCAGTTTATCTAGGTCTTCAAATTTATTTACACAGGGCTCTGCAAAATTGCCTCTTACACTTTCTAAAATTTCTTCTGTTTGCTCCTCACCTATTGATATATTTATTTTGTATATTTGTGATTCTCTTTGTTTCTTGAACAAATTATCCCATGGTTTGTCTATGTGTTGATATTTTCAAAATTAGGTCCAATCTGTTCTCTAATTAATTCTACTTTTATCATTATTTTTTTTTTGTTTTATGCTTTTTGTTTATTTCCTGTTTGTAAGCCTCGTGTTTAATTAACTTGCTTTAATTCTTTGATTGCAGTGAAAATGATTTTGATAATGATAATGCACTAATGAAAGAATGATCTAAGCACTCTTTTTAAAAATGTATTCCATAGATTCTGATACATAATATTTTGTTACCATTATTTCAGTTTTTTTCACCCAAGACCAATTTAGTTGAAAATTTTAATTTTCAGGTGAAAGATCTATATATTTTTTTCAAAAAAATAACTTCTAGTTTTATAGTGATGTTTAGAGAATAATCTGTTGTGGTGTTACTGCTAAATTTAAAAACCCAAGCCACTGTTACCTGCTCAGCAGGCGTTTGGAAGGCTTGAATAGATAAAGGGAGTAGATGAAACTGCCATGGGAAACTGGACATTAAGCCAAAGATCCAAAAAGCTGATGATCCTCTATGCCAATTCAGATCATGAGTCAGGACACACCCAAGACTAGACACCCCTTCTGTGTTGCCCACTGCTTTTCTTAGTAGTGTATTTCAACAAATTCACCTGTTCTGATCTCCACTATGTCTCTTGTGAATCGTTTAACCCCCATGCCTCCAACCTACACCTGACATTCACCATGACCTAATCATTATAATATTTCTACTTTATAGAACTTACTGATGTTGGCTTTATATCCTAGTATACAATCAATATTTGTGAATATTCAACTAATACATTTCATTTCAATGATATGTGGAGAAGATCTAGCTCTAATATCAGATTATAAATTTTGATTTATGCTCATAAAATCTATATGATTGTTTAGGAATTTAAATATCTAATATTAGTTATTTTTGTCCATTTTA